CTAAAATATCCACATTTAGTTTAGTTCCTTTTTCCCTGTCTCAGACACATTAATATCTCACGGTCTGAAACAATGCCAGCTGGCTCAGGCTGGATTGCAGTTTGTTTCTTGGATTAACTTTTAACGTTTGACGGATAAAATAAGATATAATCATTGACTAGTCTGAGAAATATATATTAAATCACTCCTAGGCTAATCTGTAGCAGACAGTATTTTGAAAATATATTCAGTATATTTCAATACATGTACATTTGTTCTGTTACTGGTTGAAACGGCTGTTATGTTTACTTATTGTTTACAATGTTTATATTGTAAACTCACCTCATAATATTCATTTTAGGCTAGGCCTATTCTATAAATGTTTAAAGTTAATAAGTTAACAAAGATATACGAATCAAAAAAGGTGTTTTATTGAAACAAATGAACAAACATGCAATGAGATTTAAAAGGCTTAGTTATGTTATAATGGGGGGACTGACAATGGAGTGTGGGCTTAAGGTTAAACTTTTACAATAGGGCCTAGTATAAATTTAGATGTGCTATATCTCAGGGTAGGGCGTCGTGCTGGCTTGAATGCTAAGAATTAATAAATTAAATAGTGTCCAAATAATTAATGTGTTAAACTTACAAAATCCCAACAATGAAAATTAAACTTTGAGGTCGTCCAAAAGATAAGTCCAAATGTGCACTGGATTTAAAAGAGTTTAAAAGAAAAGTTTATACTTAATTTTGAAAAATAATGTTGGAGTTAAGTCCTCTTGAGGTTTATTGTGATAACTTGAATATAAACTGGTTTTCTAGACGATATTAATTAATTTAATTTAGATAACATCTGGACTCTTCTTTTAACAGTTTTAACTTCCACTATGGCTTCCTTCTCTTCCATCTCAATGTTCACATAGGTATATTGTTGAACACATGGATCACTGTTTCACTGCTTCTTGAATTTTGATTCCTTAAGGACTCATTTTGAAATGACATTATAAGAAATTTTGATATATTGCAATTCTCTTACATATTTAATAAATAATTACGTTGTGGGCTTTGTAAAAAAATATAGGCTATGGAATGAATATTATTAATGATTAATTGAACAGATTAATGAAATTGTATAAATTAGGAAAATGAATACTAGGCCAGCCCTTTCTGAGGAGTGATTAATAACAAAGGTTTATGAACAGAAGTTAACATTTTAAGAAACTTAATACTAAAAAAATGAATGGATGAAATGAAACATTACAATATTAAATTCTAGAAAGTTCCAAATGAGAAATCAACAGCTCTGTCAATACTGTGTTATAATAATTTTTGTAATTAACTTCCTCAATATCATACAAGTAAAATTGTGTAGTGAAAGTATGCATCCATAGACAAATTAAATGCTGTATAACCAACAAACCGCAGCACAACCACGGCTAGGGAAACAACTCTGCTCCCAAGGGATTTTGTGAAACCTGAAAATCTCCCTCGACAAATTGAATTGTTCCTGTTTAGTTTAGGCAATTTGAGATCACGAACTCAATATTGTTGCCAACACACGGTGGTTGTTTGGGCCCCTAAAAGTGAAATGGTGAACACCCTACGTAAAGACTATGTTTGGAAAAATACAATTTAATTAAAGTTTTTAAAAATAGTTTATGTTTTATTTTAGTGTATTCCACACCTCCTGACTGATTTGGTATGCCAAAATGAAGTATAATTTGTTGGTCACGATGGTAACGATTGAAGTAATCAATCTATATAAATAAAATTACAGTTTCTGTACATATTACATAAAGATATCTATTACATTACACATCAGTATATAAAATGACATATGGTATGGTCGTTAGCGAAGGTTCCAAATGAAATATAAACGCCTTAGCAACAATAAAAGTTGTATGTTCGGATACAATAAGTTACTTTTAAGTGAAGTTGGAGCAATAAAGGAGATTTAATACAGATTTAATGTCTCCAAGATAGAATTCCGCCCGAAGCAAGAGATTTAGACGAAACCGCCTTATCGCCAGCCCAGTTGCCTTATGCTGAAAAATGTGCAAAAGCATTACATTTATGACTCAGATTGCATATCGTGGCATATAAATTTAGTGTTGGTGCATAGAACAGGTTAAGATGGTTGCTAAATGGCATTTGAGTGTTACGCAATGTACATACATATCTCTTTCGTTGGATGCAAAAATGTTCTTGTATATTTATTTAGTTTCAACTGAGTATATAGGCTAAGTAACAAATTAGGTAAACAAATCGTACTTATATCTTTTAGTGTCTTTTGTGAGTTTATGATTGCTCTTATGTATTCCATGGATGGAGATAATTTAATAGCAAAGTACTTGACATTTTCTTAGTTCTTTTTGGTAATGGTGGTTTTATAGTGTTTGAGAAATGATTGTAGATATTTTGTATAACAATTACTAAAGCAATATTCACGACGATTCGTGATCTGGAATCTGATCCCGTCCTCAGATTGCAGTTGAGAAAGTTACTTAATTTGTAACACGATTAGTAAACAAGGCCAGCTTGATCCCTAAAGGTTTTAAAGTTAGCTTTTTACAAATCGTGATTGAAAATTTCCGCAAAAATATTGCAACGTTCAAGCACATCTGGGTCCAGTTTTGAACGTTGAAAGTGCTGCTGACTTTTCTCAGGATCCAAGTGGTGACTTTTAGCGAATTTCCCTATAGGGAAGTAGCTATTACCGTAGGTATCATGGTAAGACCTAGGCAAGGGACCGATTTACTTTTTCATTTTGATGTCCCCAGAGGCCAAAAACACCATTCGTTCAAATTTTTATATATCTATATATATATCTATATATATATATATATATATATATGTGTGTGTGTGTCCATCCGCACGATAACTTGAGTAATTTTTGTCCGATTTTGATAAAATTTGGTTTGAAGGTGTAAGGCGGGATAAACTTGAATGAGTTCGCGAACCAGCATGATCGGACTATGGGAACGGGGTTTTATGGGGGGTTTTATGGGGTAAAAATAGGTTTTTCCCATTTTTGACCCTAAAAACACAAAATTTCACAATTTATTTTTAAACCATTTTGTAGAGCTTAAAAAAAACAACTAATTTAATATATTGAAGCGTTATTATGCGCCTAATTGTTACGGAGAAAATTCAAAAAAATTGTAATTTTAAAATTCCCATGTTATTCTTATGGAGGATAAGTCAACTGTTGTGGTTTGCTTGTTTATGAACATATTTTGATCAAATTTGGAAAATACATTAATTTCTTACTAAACCACAGTACCTTTTAACATTTTACATGAAAAGAAAACTTTTTTACCCTCCCTGTTGCAGCAAACCTAAGCACTCATTTAACTAATTCTGTTTAAATAGGGAATAAATGTGATATTTTTAAGGAGACATTTTAGTTTAAATCCAATCAGGCAAATGGAAATTCGCTAAGTCTGCAGGTTTGCTGCGGCGGGGGTATTTTTTACCAAGATTCAAACATTTCATCTACTCAGATATTTGTAACTGGGACCATTAAAATTAAAAAAAAGAGTGTGAAATGAAATTAAAGGTATTGCGCAGTTTTTTTTTTACTTTTTCACCCTATACATAGTATTTGGAGAAAGTATTGTTTCCGTAAAAATGTTCTAGTTTGAGTTTCGGGAGGATATATCCGTTACGGGCATATAACGGGGGTTTATCCAGAAGTCCAACGATTAAGGACCCAATAAAAAGTTACTGACCTTCTCAGGATCGAACCGGCAACCTCTTAAAGTGCACGAGCACTATAGCCACTACACAAACATATAATTCCTTTCCTAATCTACAATTTGAAAGACACAACAATATAGTTGCAATTTGTGTCTGGAATCGAAGTAGACAAGTTTGTTGACAACAAGCAACAAATCACCGAATCTGAAGTTGTACTGGACTGGGTTATTCGCTGTGATTTCCCTGAGGTCGTGCTGGTTATTCACAGAAACATAGCCTGTCATTGACACTCGCTTTCAAACAAGATTTATGTAGGAGTTGTCTCGATCGACGACTATTATAAGAAGTACGCTGACAGAATTAGAGAACAACAGAAGTAGATTAATTCGAATACAGTAAAAGTAAAAAGAAATTATAATAACGACCCTCCTATAATATTACAAATATCAACTCATTTCCAAGATGGGCTCTGAAATTTTAAATTCAACTCTCTTCTGGTGTTACCTAAAAATCTAAAAATACCCGAAACTCAAGATTTTTAAATTAGACAAGTGGATTGAAATGTATGTTGATCTTAATGTGTGACAGCTTTAAAGCTTGTAAAATTAACATATAAATCTGAAATTCTGCTCTGGGTCCTTGAGTGTATGGGAATCGCCGAGAAATAAAGTTTTTCCACTATATCTAAGATTTCTATACAAATATGCAAACGAGTTATTTAGAGGGTAATTTTCCTTAGGTCGGTAACTACAACTTTAAATTTTCTAATTCCTCTTAAATCCGGATGAAAAATGTGCTGTTATCAGGACCACCCCTAATCCTATTCATCCCTCGTTGTCCCACGTCACTAAGGGTTAAAAGGAGCGTGACTTAAAATTGGGACGATTAGTCACTTAAGCCCACCACTGATAAACCTTTCCTTTGTCAAATATCTCTGCTGTCAGTCTGTACTCAGTAAAAAAATGTACCCAGGAAAACATGTGTGACATTTTTTATTTCTCAGCTTGGTTTTTTTGTAATTATATGAACAAAAACAAATTTCCCGATAGAGTTTTAGGGTAAATGAAAAAAGGCCGTTATTGTAGTGCAAGCTTTCTTTTCAAAATAGGAAGTCAAGTACTGTATTCTGAACTAAGTATTAGTTATGTTAGACACAGAGAAAAATACATTAACCTTGGATGTTTTTATTGCACGTGATAAAAGCACTAGGTCTATGAACTTTACAAAAAAGTGAAAATTGTTATTGAATTCGTATATACTTTACAACATCGTTTTATGTTTTAATACACGAGTTTGTACAGGAGTTTAGATTGTTTTACAATTCAGTTTTTCTTTGTGTTTGTTGTGCTAGAAATATTTCCTGCCACTGACGCTACATCTTTGGACGCACTTTCCAATGGAAGATTTTTGTCTTCTTGGCGCACTCCTTTTCCCCAGGTAGTTTTCTTAATTCCGCAAAAAATGAACGGAAGACTGAGCAGAGTCGCAACCACTGCAGACATCAGGAATAATTCACTCCAGCTTTTGAAACTGAACTTGATACCAGAAACGTACGATAGGAAACTTCTAATTTTATCGTCAAACAAATGCGAGAACCACAAAATGATCGCGAAAACGACCCCAGAATAAGCGGAAGTGACTTCAAGAGCGATTGCATTAACGGTTGTCAGAAAACTTGCTGTGACAAAATGTAACATGACACAGCACGCTAAAACCGTCTCCAGACTACAACCAGCCGCTTTGACCGTGAGCAAGGTGCAGTAGAAGATTGGGAAGAGTGCACAAGTAATTGATCTTCCCAGAGCGAAAGAAGACAATAACTTTCGCGAAACTATGTAGTCACTGAACGATGCACAAAGGAAATACGCCAATGTCTCAGATGAAACCATCATAACCTCCACAATCTGTTCCGAGGACACATCTAGGTAAAGCTCTTGGCTGGCGTAGATCAAAAGTTGTTCGGAAGTAGATACGATCAGAGTACAAGACAAAATCAGCAAAGTCAACACATAAGGAGATGTTGAATGTGCCATACTCTTCCAAGGAATTATTTTAAACGTCTTAGGTCTTGGGATGTATTGAAATCGAAACAGAAGCCACCAGAAAACAGCGGTGACGAAACAAATGCACGCGTTGATGTAGCACAAGACATTCCAAGAGGGTCGACTTCTAATTAGGAAACCACCGAGCAAGTGCCCTAACGATTTCCCCTCCAGTAGAATACCCACGAACGCTGTTCTTTCGCCGGGAATCGCCCACTTTCCGGCGAGGGAGCAAACAGCTGCTATCATCATACCTTCGGCAATCTTGCGCACCAACAGCATGCAGAAGAAGACGTAGTCGTTGTGGAGAATCACCAGATACGAGGCTGACGTCACCAAAACACACAAAACCAAACCTAGCAGCACTGCGTTCTTACCACCATATTTGTCCGAGTATATTCCCGCGAAAAACGTAGAGCAAATTGGAATGTATAGAGAACAAATGTTGAAGACTGCGTCGAACTGTTGTTCACTCCAGTAGAAGACAGGGTACGCCCGACTATAATGTCCGGACTTGTGATTGGGCCGAGGAGAACATACGTCGTCATCGCCGAGCCGCTTGTAATGCAGATTTGTGTCTGGGAAACCGGCGACTTCATAAACCAATAACCTCTCACACCTGATGATTAACTGGGAAATAGCCATGATAAGTGATAGAACCAAGGCTGGCTTGTATCTGTTGCACAGTGTCTTGAACATTGTCTGGACTGAGGGAGCGTATTTTTAATTTGCATAAGTCTGTAGGTTTTGGGATTCGTGTAGTTATTACATTTTTGTTTATTTACATAATTGGTAAACATGCTAAAATTTTTAAATAACAGAACGTATGTTGTAATGAATTAAAACATGTGTTTTAATACAATGATGATGTTTGTTTTTATACCGTTGGTTGTTGGTTACGAAATAAAGAATATTATAACAGAAACAGAAAGGATGGTAAAAATTAACAATTGACGTCAGAGGACAAGGAATTGTTAGCAAATAGGCGGAAATATTTAGTTAAGGTATTGTACTTCTGTTTAAGAACAATAAACAAATAGTGAACATTAGAATACCCATTACACTAAATGAGCAGAAACTTACGTTAAATTTGTATTTAGCTTCTTATGATAAACCTTAAGGACAATAGTTCACCATAGACTATCTTTTTAACTCTAATAATGACGATATTTAACTAATGTTTAAAATCAACGTGTCGAGTTATAAAATCGTGGCAACAGGGATGATTATAAAAGCGCCCTGGTTAGAAGTTCATCAAAAGTCATTATTCAGGTTGGCGCAAAGGGCTAATGTGGCACTTTGTCAGTTTTACACCTGGCTGGCATTAAACAGTTGATGTAGCTTTTGCTAAATAAGATGGTGTTGTCGGTTTATTTTCTAACGTTGGATTTTCTGCAGGATAACAAAATGACTCGTTGAGATCCTATGAGATACAATTTTTGCCATGCTATTCTTAATGTACGTTGCTTAGTGTTTAGATTACAGAATTCAGGTATAAATTTGTAGTTAGAACTAATTAACTATCTAAATTAATTTGGACGTGAATGTTTCTGTAGGAGGATTGCCTAGTCTAATTACCAGTCCATCATTACTAAGAGTTTGTTGGCTGTTCATTCTTTTTTTGACATTTTAATATAAGACCATAGACAATTTCCTAGTTTCATACCTACTTTTTCGTCATACTGTAGCAAAACCAGCTGTTTTTAATACATGCTTTGCGGGTATAAAGTAGCTCGTTTTCTCCCTAGGTAGCAAAAATCACCTGTTGTCAACTTAAAATCGCATTTTCCGAAAATGTGTATAAATTGTTGTAATTGGTTGTAGCTTATTGTTACATTATTGTTCTTGGTATCGATAGGATACAATGTACACCAACACAATCGTAATTAATGAAGTTATCGTATCACTTAGTAAACAGCTGCTTATTTGCATTAGCAAAATTTAAACAACTTGAAAGTCGTTTTGGGAGGTTATCATTGCATGAATATAGTTATTTGTGAGTGTGGGACAGTTTTCACTCGTGTTACACATTATATTTTTCCTACAGCTACTATAAATCATATAAATAATTAGTCTTTCAAACACTGTACAACACGTTTTTAGGTTAGGTTAATTCCAAACATTGAACGAAATGGGAAACATTACACCAGCTGATCGCAGTCGTAATATCTTAGTGTTGCCAACTTATTTTCAAGAGTACACGGATTATATGCATAATACAAGCACGCTGTTTTGTATTGTTTGGTTGGAATACTGGTGTGCGCCAAAGTAAAAACTGTGCGCCAAAGTAAGGCTTTCTGTGCTATAATCTGTGCAAGGAGACACACTTTGTCGGGCGACAGTAGGAAAAAGTATTTTCGTTTTCCAACATAGTTAATTTAAATAATGGTGCAACATAACGACAAAATATAGTCACATGGCCAAAAATTGACTTTCCAACACTCGCCCATTTGAGAATTTGCTCTTGTTGAAAAGAGTCACTTACGCCCTAGTGATGAAATATACGATTGCACCCCTCCGTATACTAGGTGTGTTGATTTCATGGACTATGTTGCATCAGTATCAATACGAAGGCAACGTCAGAGGTACTATTAAGGTCTATACACATTTGAATATCAACATCGGATGTCTGAGTGAATGTGTACATCAATTTCAAAAGTGGAAGTTAAATATGAAAATTGGAGTCAAAATTGAAATACTGCTGACTCGGATACTATGTACTTACACTAGTTTTCAGTTGTTGTTTACTAAGAATGAATTGATACATTATAGTCAGGTACAAATTTTAAGGAGTTGTTTGAATGGATGAGAGGATAGTTATACTGTATTTTGTTATCTAAAATCAGCTGGTCACTATTAATTAAAAACATTAACGAGGTTAGCTGTGCCAAATTTCGAATCTTAAAAAACAAACTAACTTGTCCAAGGATACGGCAACTTTTTATCCCAGGCGAACACTATTATATTACAACTAGACATTCCATCTCCATGTTAAAGCTGTTGCGAAATAATCAAAATCAGTTGATGTGATCCACCGAAAGATCGTGCTGATGTGAATGACCAATTTATGTAGAATACCCGAACCATTTATCAAGTCAAACTGATGGAATGACTTATTGTTAGCTATATAAACTGATATGACCCATAACATAAACTATGTCTGTAGCAAAAAAATTAGGTAACAAAAGATATCCTAGACACAAGTGCATTCTATGACTGTATCACTAAACAATGTTCTTTTTTAATATAAATCTGTGACAGCTGGTCCATATAGGCATATAGGCGTACTTTAGTATCCACTCTACTACTTTAGTAGTAATCTTTAGTCAACGAAAATAGTCGCTCAGCTACCCAGCTATGGACAAATGAGGTTCAAGAACTGAGAGAAAAGAAGTAAAATTGTAATACTTCGAATTGAACGTCAACTTATCAGCTGTTGTTACTACCCAAGGCTCGTACCTTAAATTTTCTCCTCTTGTAAAGACTATCCTTACTTGATCGTTGCGTAAAGTACTACAACATGATTATGATTTATAATTGAATTTAAAATTGAAATTACAACATACTAGTACTTCTAGGATGATGATTCTACTTGCACCATTCAAAGTAAAAAGCTGTATTTAAATCCAATTTGAAAGTTCTCGTGTCAATTTAAACGCACGACCAACACAATCTCAACTTTCATTTGTCTCAGAGTAATGTGACAATTATTATGAAGAGACAACTGCAAATTGCAATGCAGCATTCAAAGTTGAGTAGTATTCAAATCTGGTGACAAACTATCGAGTTGGATAAGATCCAAATACAATATGCAAACAGTTCAATATCAACATAGAGATGACAACCGAGCTGTGATATTGGCCTTCACATATCCCGCGTCTGTGTGAACACATTTTGTGAGCGGTTTGAAACAATAAAACTGAAATAAAAGACTAACGTATTTTCCTACTAATATTATAATTGAGAAAGTTTAAATGTATGTATGGATGGATGGATGTTTTTGACAAGTAAACGCGAAAAATACTGATCGGATTGGCCGTTGAAATTTGGTGTGATGATAGCTCACATTCCCGATTAACATATAGGTGTTTTAGGTGTTTAGGGGCAGTGGTAGAACATTATGGCTATGGTAGATGTGCTATACTATAGTATACCGTAAATTAAAAGAACCAAATTTTCTTAAACCGTGTCCTCCCCCATCGCAAACACAAAACACGAGTTAAAACGAATTTTTTGTGCTTATTTTATAGCCTATTTTAGTTTATAAAGAGATTCTGCACATCTTCAGGTAAACATCTTTCATTTGGTACCAACCGCGTGTAATTCGGTCCTGTAGTATGGTCAGGCCAGCTGTCATAAGTTTTGCAAAAGTTTTTTAGTATAAGATGTCTTTGATTACTCTTTGTTTATTATTTTTGTTCTTTGTTATTGTTTTGATTCGTGACCAAATACAATGTTTTAGTGCCCTTTAATTTTAATATTTATTTAGTGATTTTACAGTGAAACCAACAGTTATTATTTTAGTGTATACAACAGAAATGCGCAATTGGAAACAAAGGTTAGTTTTTTATGTTAGTATCAATTAATTATTCTAAAATCTACCTACATTTACAGCAACAAAACTTCTAGTTGCACCCACGTTGTACCCATTGTCGAAGATGCACTTTACAGTTTATACTGATTACGTAATAGATAGTCTGTATCAATTAGCTGCTGCACAATCAATCATGATTATACTGTTACAACATGTAAGACATGATACCATAGATCTTGCTTTGTGAATATGACGTCAGTCCGGATATGGCTATTCGGATATGTAATAGATATTTTAGAAGAAAATCTTATTTTTATTGAGCATGAAAGTCGTATGATTTCACGCTTAAAGTAGGGTTTTGTGATCCTCCACGTCCAGATTCAAACGAAAAAATACCCCCGCCGCAGCAAACCTGCACACTTAGCGAATTTCCATTTCCCTGATTGGATTTACACTAAAATGTCTCCTTAAAAATATCACATTTATTCCCTATTTAAATAGAATTAGTTTAACGAGTATATATAGGTATAATGAAGTTATATAGGTTTGCTGCAACAGGGAGGGTAAAAATTGTCTTTTTAATGTAAAATGCTAATAGATACTGTAGTTTAGTAAGAAATTAATGCATTTTCCAAATTTGATCAAAATATGTTCATAAACAAGCAAACTACAACAGTTGACTAATTCTCCATAAGAATAACATGGGAATTTTAAAATTACAATTTTTTTTAATTTTCTACGTAACCATTAGGCGCATAATAATGCTTCAATATAATAAATTATTTGTTTTTTTAAGTTCTACAAAATGGTTTAAAAAAAAAATTGTGAAACTTTGTGTTTTAGGGTCAAAAATTGGAAAAACCTATTTTTACCCCATAAAACCCCCCATACACCCCCGTTCCCGTAGTCCGATCATGCTGGTTCGCGAACTCATTCAAGTTTATCATGCTTTATACCTTTCAACCAAATTTCATCAAAATCGGTCAAAAATTACTCAAGTTATATAAAAATTAGAACGAATGGTGTTTTTGGCCTCTGGGGACATCAAAATGAAAAAGTAAATCGGTCCCGGGCCTAGGTCTTACCATGCCACCTACGGTAATAGCTACTTCCCTATAGGGAAATTCGCTAAATAAACCCTCTTTAAAGTAGGGTAGTTTTGAAG